CTTATGTCCGATTCGGTGTCGTCAAAGCCGCGCGGTTCTGATGTGCGTGTGCATCGGTACTCTTCTCAGGAGATATACCCTTCTTTGAATGTGCATACTGTTGCAGATATGAATGGTGGAAGTCTATTGGTTCTCCCCGGTATGTGACGGCCCCTATGGTGGATCAGAGTGAATTAGCGTTTCGTATGATGACTCGAAAGTAACTCTTTAAGGGAGCTCTGGCTGAGATGCCGAGTTGGTCGGTCTAGGTATGGCGCGCAGTTTTGCTATACTCCAATGATGCATGCGAAGTCCTTTGCCACGTCGAAGAAATACCGAGAGAAGAATTTCGAAACCGTAACAGGGGGGAATTGCGGCCATCACTGTATCGACTTCCAACTCACTGCTGTCCTCGCGTAGGCTCCTGGAGATTCCCCCCTGGCTGCCCAGTTTTGTGGTGATGATGGTGACGTTATAGTAGAAGCCGCGAAGCATATAGAAGATCAGGTAATAGGAGCTGTGGGCTGGTCTCGGGGAGTTGTGTATCACAATAGGTGTCGTGCATTGACCTCAATCTGGGATGCCCTCAAGGGATCGCTAGAAGAGGCCACTATGGAAGCTTCCTGCTAGAGGAACCTGAATTGGTTCTCAGAATTGTAGAGAAGATGGTCAAGGTAGCTACCTCGGTCCTCCCTAGTGAGCATACTTGCTGCATTCAGGGCATAAAGTGCCCGGTCTCAGTAAAGATTCGTCTGATGACCGCTAAGGACGATGATGGTTCGGGGAGGCCGGACGTGGCTGCGACGAAAGAGTTTGTGAAGCGGTTGGATTCCCTTGGAGTTGATCTTATTGCGTTGCATCCTCGAACTAAGGAATGGAAGGGTACTAGAGTTTGGCGTGTTTCATCTGTTGGAGCTCCTCTTTACATAACACCGGGTCAGGTCAGTTGACTCAAGCCTGTTGGTGGCAAGCGGCTGCGGAGGTTCGTGCATGCGTACCGGACATTCCGTTCATCGTCAACGGGGGCATTTCGTGCTTCGAGGATGTTGAGAAATGCTTTGAGGTGGTCGGATTTGGTGGGACTCCCTTGCTCATCGCTGTGTTGTAGGTCACCAAATGTGATGCAGTGATGAGCTCTGAGTGCATCTTAGAGGTCCCGACCTTGTTCAGGGGCCCTGAGAAGGACGGTCCGGCCCTCAGCCAGTGCGAACTGGTGGAGGAATATATCAAATTTGCTAGAATGTACCCTCACACTGCGCCCCCGAGATGTGTCAAGAGTCACGCCTTTCGCATGCTCTATGCCCCTCTGCAAAAGTTCATTGAAGTGCGCGAGAAACTCGGGGGCTCACGTAGTGTGGAAGAGTAAGTTTGTATATAACTTATCGTGGAATACGTCGACATGACTGTTTTCTGCCAGGATATCTGTTGCAGTCGAGACTCTCGATGAGCTTGTCAGAAATGATTCGCAACAGGCTGAAGTTGATGCGAATCCCTGGCCTTCACGGGGATACTATTGGCGACATCAGAAACCGTTACTATCAACAAGTGACCTCATACGGAAGAAGATTATAGAAAAGCCAGAGGGGATGGAAGAGCTGTAGTTGTGGTTAACGGAGGTCCGCATAAGACTGGCTACTTTCAGACCAACACTGGGAGGGAGGAAACGGGAATATCGGAGGTTGAGCCGCTCACAACGGAAGGCACTGCGCAAAAAGGAGATGGAAGATTCCCGAGGGGTAGAAGCGGATCAATCGAGCTCACCGAAGAGGATTGCTCTTGACGCACCAGCTTGTACATAGGCCTTTCTTATATAACGTACTTAACCCACTGTCACGTTTCCAAGGAAACCAAATTCTCGAGTTCACGAGACTAGAAGCCATCAAAGTCAACACCGAGTGTCAAGAACATCGGGATGAGAAAAGTGTTCCAGACTATTCGCCCCAAGAGGTGTGCAAGGGCCACGCTCCCCTTCCACATACAGACCTTGGCTAGACGACCACAGTCTTTCTTTGTTGGGCGTAAGTTGACAGCAATATCACATAAATCACGATTTTCCCACTAACCTCTCAGCGAGTCTCTGACACGGATCAAACATCGGTATTGCCCGTGGCAATTTGCCACGTGTCTTGCTGAGTTATTGATTGCGGTAGATAGCATGAGTGGGTTACTACATGAACATGTGTGTTGATAGATCCCAGTCGCAAGCGAGATAGACATTACGGCTTCAAAAAGTGTACATAGTGTAACGGTATAGTACGTCTTCAACATCCGAGAGGTCGCTAGTTCAAATCTTAGTGCATACATATCACCACTCATTTTTATATACACTTGCTACCGAGATGTAACCTCTGCACGTGCATATATCGAAATTGCTCATAACAGACCACTTTCGTTTGAGGTCGCATGTTACATTGAGTGTGTTCGCTCCACATGCCTACGAGAGACCACGTACTGCCAACTTGTAGCAATAGTATCACATATGGCATCTTCCCGATTCACCCTTCAATGTGATGCAGATTTCACCACAAACCCTTTCATATACAACTCAATATATCGCTTTTGCTCACGAAAGAAGGAACAGTTATCTTATAACAAATGCGAGCAAAGTTAGTCACATACGGACAGCTACTCAAAAGAGGACTCCAAGAAACTAAATCTAGTTCATGAAAGGAGTATGATGGACGAAATGCCAACCCCAACTGCCAATGATGCCGCGCTTGTTCTCGTTGACCTTAGTGGACTCAATGAGACCCTTCTGGATGGCAGAGAGCTTGCCCCAGAGGACCATATGGCCAGTGCCAGGAGCAGACTTGGCACCCAAAACGAAGCAGGCCTTGTTAGGTCCGAGAGAAGTAGCGAACATACCAGCACCCCAAGGCCACCAAGTAGTGACGAGGTCCTTGGCACCACCGAGCCCGCAGCAGCCGCCAACGGACTTACCCTTATGCTCGAGGTGGTCCAAGATCTTAATGTTCTTGGTAGCATGAGCGGCCTGCTCCTCAGAAGGATAAGAGATCTTAGGGATCGGGGGAAGCTCAGGGACCATGTTGCAATCACCAATGGCGAAGATGTGACCGTTACCCCAGAGGGACTGAGAGCCATCCTCGTTAACCTTGTAGACCTGCAAATGCTTGTTCACGTGAATCCATCCTCCGCCACCGGGACCGCGCTTCTTGGGGTCCTTCTCCTTCTTGTCCTCTTCCAAGGGGTTGTAGCCAGTCAAGCA